TCTATCTATCTATCTATCTATCTATCAGGATTTGCATGGGTTTAATAAATTCTGCATCTTGATGTAAATTATGCCCACAGTATTGTAAAGTAATATTTCCTAAAAAGTCTCATTTTTGAAAGTCACTTTTAAACTGTTCTCATATGTTTTTATACATATTGTAGTGCACTATGCTTCATCGTGGACCACAGTCACTTAACAAAAACTAAAAAGTAAAAATAAATAAATAAAACAAACAACAAAATATAAACTCTGAACAACTAAATAATTAACGCACAAACTAAACATTCATCAAAATAAAAAAAAGGATAATAATACACACACAAACGCACAATTTATTAAACATACTTGGCAATAAAGCAAATTCTGACTTCAAGGCAGGCAGCAGCGGGCAGACACGCACACACGAAATGCATGCAATGTTTAATGGATGACTTAGACGTGCTGTAAACTGTAAAAATGCATCCAAAATACAAAGAATCAAACAAAGTTTCATGAAACTGGCAAAGTAATGACTACTGACAAAAGCACACGTTTAACAAATGTTTATTACATAAAATATTCAAAACCACAACAACATCAATAATAATAATACTATACTAATAAAAAAAGGAGGAGAACAAGAATAATATAAAACACTTTAACATGTTATAAACATTATGAACGAATCGTTCATGCTAACAGACTTTAAAAAAAAAAAGAAATGAAGAGTAATAAAGTGCTTAATGCAAAAAAAGGCTAAATATTTTAAGTTTGGGTTCCCTATTTGACAGTTCAATCAAAATACACACATTTTCTCAAAAATAACAATAATAATAATAATAATAAAGAATAAGAACAAGAATAACACAATCTTAAAAAATAAACTTAAATCAATATGTTGTAAACATAAGTAAATCTTTCACGCAAAGAAAACAATTAAAAATAAACAAATAAAAAAAAAAAATGAATAAAGTGATTACCAAATCAGCGAACAACGAAACCATTTTAAGATTTTAACAGCTAACCGTGGCAAAAAAAAAAAAAAAAAAACTTTAGACCACTAGCATTGGAAAGATTACTGTAATTTGTCCTTCTCCTGCTGCACAACCAGGTCCCTTCTTCTTCTTCTCTTTAAAGTTGTTTTGATTCTCTCTCCCAGGTAGGCTCGCAGTTCCTTGGTTCCCCGAGGGCTCCATCCAGGACTCCATAAACCATCTCTTTCACCGGCGCCTTTTATTACATCTGCCTTGTCTGAGAGGCCCTTGGTATCTGAATAATAATAAAACAAACAAACACAAAGTTTCATGAAACTGGCAAAGTAATGACTACTGACAAAAGCACACGTTTAACAAATGTTTATTACATAAAATATTCAAAACCACAACAACATCAATAATAATAATACTATACTAATAATAAAAGGAGGAGAACAAGAATAATATAAAACACTTTAACATGTTATAAACATTATGAGCGAATCGTACATGCTAACAGACTTTAAAAAAAAAAAGAAATGAAGAGTAATAAAGTGCTTAATGCAAAAAAAGGCTAAATATTTTAAGTTTGGGTTCCCTATTTGACAGTTCATTCAAAATACACACATTTTCTCAAAAATAACAATAATAATAATAATAATAAAGAATAAGAACAAGAATAACACAATCTTAAAAAATAAACTTAAATCAATATGTTGTAAACATAAGTAAATCTTTCACGCAAAGAAAACAATTAAAAATAAACAAATAAAAATAAAAAATGAATAAAGTGATTACCAAATCAGCGAACAACGAAACCATTTTAAGATTTTAACAGCTATCCGTGGCAATAAAAAAAAAAAAAACTTTAGACAACTAGCATTGGAAAGATTACTGTAATTTGTCCTTCTCCTGCT